TATTGATTTTTGAGGGTTGACCTTGTATCCAGCTATGCTACTGAATTTGGTTGTTAAATCTAGAAATCTTTTGGTGGCGTTATTGTGGTCTTCTATGTAGAATATCATGTCATCTGCAAATAATGATAATTTAACTTCTTCCTTTCCTATTCTTATTCCTTTTATTTCTTTCTCTTGTCTAATTTCTCTGGCCAAGGTTTCCAGAACTATATTGAATAAGAGAGGTGATAGTGGACATCCTTGTGTTGTTTCTGATTTTAGAGTAAAGTCTTTCAGTTTTTGACTTTATTATGATGATGGCTGTTGGTTTGTAATAGATAGCCTTTATCAGATTGAGCTAAAGACTATCTGTTCCAATTTTCTGGAGGGTTTTATCATGAATGGGTGTTGGACTTGGTCAGACATTTTTTTCTGCATCTATTGAGATGATCATATGGTTTTTGTCCTTGGCACTGTTAATATAGTGTATCACACTTATTGATTTGCATATGTTGAGCCATCCCTGTATCCCTGGGATGAATCCTACTTGGTCATGGTATATAAACTTCTTGATGATTTGCTGCATTCTGTTTGACAGTATCTTATTGAGGATTTTTGCATTAGAGAGATTGACCTGTATCTCTCTTTTTTGATTGGATCCTTCTCTGGTTTTGGTATCAAGGTAATGCTTGCTGGGGACAATTTCTTATGCATTCCACCCAAATTACAGCCAGAGGTAGCCCACTTTCCCACATGTGCTGTGTGCAAAGGACCAAGTTTACATGAAATCTGTGATGTGGGTTTTTAATACATCTCTCAAACTGACTAAACAATCTTTGAAAATTGTCTCCAAAATGCCCATCAGCAAACAGGCCACAACACTTGATTTTGTTGTTGAGTTAATAGGAACAAGATGATGATGATTGACAAAGTTTTGCTACACAACTAAGGCTATTTATCTGATATCATTCACCATCCTGCCCCCCAAAATAATTCTGAAAATATTCTCAGTCTGTGGGAGCTAAAGAAAGGAAGGTACATTACAGAATCCAAGTGCTGAAACAGTGAAAACCTGTCAGTTTAAGATGTATGTTCTAATCCATCATTGCCCTGACCCTGGAGTCCCAGCATTGGAATGGTTTTGGTTTTGCCCCTCCCCATCATTTTCTACAGTGAGTTATGCATTGCACACTCTAGAGCACCACTTACACAGATGACAGTATCCCTGAAGTTTTGCAATGTGAATCTCACCAATGGTGCATAGGGCCCCAGCCTTCAGTACCTACCCATGCAGATCACAGTTCTCTAGTGTTGGGCAATGGTACATTTTTAATCGCTCACAATAAAAACAGAAAATAATAAAAACATGTTGAGTCATTACTGTGAGCCAGACTTAGTAATATCTGCTTTCTTCCCAATGGCAACATGTGGGGCACTATCCTACCACCCCATTGTGTCTGTGGGAAACAACCACAGCAACCTCCAGCCACCCTCTCTCCCCACCTGAGGTCTCTCCCTCGTGTCAGTGTCATCTGCCTTGATACCTGGCGTCAGGTTGACCTTCTGTTGGGAATGCTGGCAGGAGTGGAGATGCTGTCGCCGTCAGCCCCGTCTCTGTCTCCTGCATCCTCCTACTCCTGGCCCACTTTGGCAGTTAGGTCTTCAGCATCTTCCTTATAGGTTTCTACTTTCTGGCCTCTGGCTTCTGCTCTTCTTCCCTCCACTCAGCCAGACTCTGGTGCCAGATGCCCTTCATCAGACAGAGCTGTGATCTGCTTCTGCAGCTCAGAAACCTTCCAGGAACTCTTGTCTCTGCTGGATTCTTGACTCTACATTCAGCATAATTTCACATTGTCTCCCAGGTTTTTTTGTTTTTTTGTTTTTTTGGTAGTGAGGATCGAACTCAGGTCCTTGCACTTGCGAGGCGGGTGGTGGAACCACTGAGCTAAGTCCCTGGCCCTTGTCTCCTAGTTTTGTCCTAGCGGAGGAGCTCTACTCTACAACTCAACTGCTCTTCCCAAACTCATAGGACCGTTGCCTTTCTCTCCAATTTCCCGCTTCCTCTTCTCTGGAAACCCTACCCATCCTCCTACTCCTTCTCAAATCCTTGCTTTTACTTTCTCACTCAACAAACTCTCATTTTGAGTCCCTCCCGTGAACTGGCTATACTGTTGGTGGTAGGCCTCATGGGGCTTTCAGAGCAGGAAGGTGGAAGAAGTAATCATAAAAGGTGTTGCGAAGAGGAAGATCCAGACTTGACCCTAGGGTGTTAACTATGGGGAGGGAGTGAAGGGAAGGCCTCCCTGATGCTTCGGGACAGCCTCCTTCCTGTTTTAGTGCATTTCCCACTGCCATAACAAAATGGCTCAAGACCAGTAATTTAAAAGAATGGAGTTTATTTGTCTCACCATTCTGGAGGCTGGTAAGTCCAAGAGCATGGTACCAAGACCTGGCCAGGGCCATTTTGCTACATCATAATGTGGGAGACATGTTGCATGGTGAAGCAGAGCAGGGTCTCTCTCCTAACAAATGCCACCCAAGGGGACTTAGGCACGTGCCCTCCTCTAAGCCTAATTCCCTCCTCAAGGCCCCACCAGCAGGCACCGTCAACATATGAATTTGGAGACTTTGTTTCCAATGCATGGACGTTGGGGGAACACATTCAAACTACTGGGCCTCCCTTCTCCCAGGTAATCACTTCCTGTCTCCCCCTTAACTCCTGAGGCCCTCTGTGGTTCTGCCCCTTCCTTTCCTCTTGGATTATTGCAGCAAATGTTAAATGCAACAGGTGCTACATAAATATTTGTTGACAGTTAAATCATTTGACACACTTCTCGAGAATCCAAGGTTGTTGTGTCTTAAGCCATGCAGAGTGTAGAGTGGTTGCAGGGTGAATTTACCCGTTCCCTGACTACAGGAACATCCCCTGCTTGGGTGACTTGCCCCACCATTTAGCAGCTTGGCTTCTACAAACTGTAGGTTGGACCCCAAGTAGTAATGAGAGGTCATCTTGCAGGGTCAGGATTATACAGCAGGTTCCACTTTTTACTGTCTGTGCTTCAATACATGTTTGAATTTTTTCTTTTTTTTTTTTTTTGGTACCGGGAATCGAACTCGGGTCTTTCCGCTTGCAAGGCAGGCGGTGAAACCACTGAGCTAGATCCCAGGCCCATGTTTGAATTTTTTTTACAGCAAACCTGTATTAACTTTATAAGTGGAAAACTGTCTTGTTATTTAGTAAATTAAACAAACCATTGAAAATAATTATTTGTTTCTCCCACTCCCACTTTGTGCCTTCTAAGAAAGGGATATATATTTAAAGCATTGTTTGGGCAAAATCCCTGACTCCTGAGTCTCTCGGAGCTTGATGGTTAGGAAGAAGTGAAGATGTTCTTGCCTGTTCTAGGGAAGTTCCAACTTCCCTTGGAAGGTCCAGTGACTGAGTCAGCTGACACAAAGTGCCATCAGGCAGAACAACAGGGAAGAAAACATTCGGATTTATTAATGTGCCAGAACACAGATGTCATAAAAATATGAAACCCAAAGAAGAGCCGCATGGGTGAGGCCTGAACACTCAAGTCCTAGGGGAGAGGGCACTAGGGCTGTGACCCAGTGGAGAGGGAGGGAGCATAGGGGAGTGAGTGTTAGTGGGGAGAATACGCTCAGAAAACAGACAGCATTCTGGAACAAAGCTGCTCCTGATGTGGTTTTGATTTTTTAGTCTCTTCTCTTGATGTGAGCTTACTTTTTTTTTTTTTCCAGCAAGGAGGGTTGAAGGCAATCTGTCCCTCTTTGGTGCATCTGGTGCTTTGGTCAATAAGAGGACTTCAGGGAAAGTCCTTCTGGCCATTTGTTCCTCCCATAGTCCTCCATTGGAAGTCTGAAGCCACATCTTTTGGGGGATCATTTTCTGAGAGACCCCTGATCTCTGCTCCTTGGAATAAATGAATGCTTCCAACCCCTGGCTGACTCCCAAAAGCACACAGCAACCCTCACTTCTATACAGCCTCAGGCCTCAGGCTAGGGACAGCCAGTCCTGGGTTTTCACAGCAAGGGCATTTGTCCTCCGCCTGACATTCATCCTCCCTCCTTGTTCCCAAAGGCACAACACCTAGAGGGGTTGGAAGGAGCCATTGTGAAGAGGGTAAAAGCTGGACAGAGCATTCCTGGGGAAGCCCTGACCACTGCTGAGGGGCTTATGCGGTCTAGAACTATGTGGCTCAGGTGAAGCTGGAGGAAAAATTCCCAGGCCTCTTCCTTCTGCCCCACTTCTCTTGCTTCTGTCTGTCATTACCTGTTTAGGTGCTTGGCTGAAGAAGTATGCTAAAAATTCTCTGTTAGATATCAGTTAGCTAGGTGTCCTGTGTTCATATTCACCAACTCTGGCATAACTCAAAGCAGGGACCAGCCATTCCTTGTGCACACATACACTCACATACACACACAGCTAAAAGTACAACTAATGTGAGCTTATATTTTTAGAAATACTTGTGGGCCAGCTGAAATAAAAACATTTTCTGGTTCATTCTAGCAGGCAGGCATTTGCTGGAAGCTCCAAGTCTGGAACATATTTTTTTTGTGGACGCAAAAACTGTAAATTATCTCCCTGGGACTAGTAGGCAGCCTTTTCAAAACTCTTGGCCAAATGTGTGGCATAGTATGTGACTGAGCAGGCGGTAAGAAAACTGAACTTAGGTTTTCCTGCCCTGTCACCTTCCTATTGAGTTGGGTATGCAGGACATGGGAGGAGTCTCCATTTACAAGTTTTAAATTTTATTTGTATATTTATTTATCGGTGGTAGGAAGTTTATTCCTTAAGCATTTAGGAGGAGACAAGTGAACAAGTGAACAAACATGTGAGGGTATGTGTTGGATGTGTGTTTTAGATTCTGTTCATCTTTTCTGGGGGCAATAAGGACCTCTGCTTCCTCCCATCATGGCTTAAGAAGTTGAGGACCTACTACTTGGAAAACTTTTCACCATGAATTTAAAGGCTAAAACTCAGGTGTTCTGTTTCACAGCTATTGCCAAAATGAGGGAAGAAACCAAGCCCTACCAGCCATTCCCAAGGAGCCTGCAAGTGGACCACAGGCCATTTTCCTATCCTCACACCAGTGGATACCAGCCTTCTTCAATGTTGTCACCAACCCAGCCCAGAAGATCACATCCAGGAAACACGGCTGACCCCCAGGCCACCCCTGCTGCCACGAAGCTCCGACCACCCGTTGCGTTTAATCACACAGTTGGGCATATAATACTTTCTGAACACAAAGATGTGAAATTTAATTGCTCCATCAACATACCTAATGTGTACCAGGAAACTGAAAGTGTTTCCTGGTGGAAAGATGGGAAGGAATTGCGTAGGGCACATAATACAGTTACACAGTATTATCCTGATAATGAAGTAATGTCAATAATTGCATCCTTTAGGTAAGTGTCCTTCCATTCTTTTTCAATGTCGTTATGCTAATGTTACCTTGAAAGCAAAGCCTCCTAAATAAAAAAAAAACAGCCTTTGTTTTCTGTTTAAGCAAGCTTGATCCCTTAGTATTTAGATGGATACAGTAGCTGACAGTCTGTATTACTGATTTCTTTTAAACTGAGCTTGAACCCACATAACTGTACGCTCACAGAGACCCTGAGCACTGGGAGGGCTACTTTCCTCTTGACCTGCAAGTCACTGTCAAGTATAGCTGGATGCAACAGTTCTACCAGCAAGTGGAACAGTGCTTTGTTTTGGTTTTTGTGATGCCAGGGATTGAACCCAGGGCCTTGAGCACACTAAGCACCTGCTGTACTATTGAACCACAGCCCCAGCCCAAGAGAAAGTGTTTTTATGAGGTGTGATGAGTTGGGGGTAGTGGCGATGGAGTCATCTAAGCCAGTGTATATCTGGATTCCTCCATTCTCCTGTGCACCAAGCTTTCCTGTTCAGATACTGTGGGCCAGAGGGCAGGTGCCTCTCCACACCACCGCTTTGGTATTCTCAGTTCTTTCCTCTTCACCTGAAGGGGTTTAGGTTTGCTTGTTTTCTTCTTCTTTTTTGTTTCTTGTCTTATTTATTTACCTAATCTTATTAACATGCAGCAGTTGTACATATTAATGGTGTACAGTGTGATATTTCAACACATGCATACTGGTCAAATTGGGGTAATTAGCATTTTCCTTTCCTTATCATTTCTTTATGTTTGGAGTCTTCAAGCTCCTCTCTTCTAAATCTGTATAAAATATATAATTGGTTATTATATACTGATATAGTAATGTTGCTACATAATACCAGATCTTATTCCTTCTATTGAACATGGTTTTGGTACCTGTTATCCAACCTCCTTATGTCTACTCCACCTCTTCCCAGCCTCAAGATATCACTATTCTGCATTGAGATCAACTTTTTTTTAACCTGAAGTCTGTGTGTGTGTCTGTGTGTATGTTTGCATGTTTGCATGAGGTCTCCTTTGTGTGCACACTTGCAGAACTGGTTTAGCCTATGGTTGTTAAAAGCTCAAAGTAAAGTTGGAGTCACTTAGAGTTGAATCACATTGTCTCTGTGATTCTTCTACCCCGGTAGAGCACCTTCTTTGATCTGTCACAAATTTCACTTTCTCTGACCTGACACTTGGCATTGCCCCATACTGTGTCATGCCTTTTGGTGAATCATTTTATGTTTCCTTTTCAGAAAACCACCTCCCAGTCACCAACACACATAATGACTCCAGGTAGAGTTTAGTCTATTAATACTTCCCCATGATGTGCTTTTTTTGCATATTTTCCCCAGGTCGTAGGCTTGGTCAGTGGTCAAGACTACTAACTTCCCTGGCTTCCCTTGGTTGATGTAACAGTAGGAGATTTGACTGTATTCTTTTCTCTATCAACTATAGAAAGCAGATGTTTTACCATTTTATAGACATACCTTCTAATGAGAAAAGTAAAATTATCATTCAATAACGAGAGTGAGGAGACGTTTTAAGGCTCAATGAAACAGAAAGTAGCAACTTGGTCTCATCAGGTATCACTTGGGGGGCACAGCACTGTCATCTCTCCGGGCATGGCCAACCTATGACCATGGGCGTGTGATTACTAAGTCTCAGTCCACCTGCTTATGGTAGCGAAGCATGGAGGGGAAGGGCAGACTCAAATATTGAGGGCAGAAGTGCTCAGGTAATGTTAGTGCCATGCACTGAGGTAATACTTCCCTCAGAGTTCAGATCTGGCCATGAAGGATCATTTTAAGGGAGGAAGACCCAGTATCAGGACCAGAGGGAGAGACCCTTCTGCCACTGCAGAGTGACTGCTTCTTGCAATCAAGCCTCAGTTGATTGTAATGAGGGAGAAAGATAAAAATAATAGGAGCTCATAGGCAGTTACATTGTTCATGGGAAGTTGGTACATGTACATAACACGTGTTAATTCTTTTTACTTCCCCTCTCCCCCTGAAAGATTTAAAAAATAACTTAACTTGTGTGTGAATGTATTTTTTAATTTTTAAAATAATAACATACAATGTGGAAAATAGTGACTCATAATTCCACTATCCTAAGCAAAAGTTTCATGCATATGTAAATTTAATATTCTTGAAACAAATTAGAATTTTACTACATAGATGATTATATATGTTTCAATCACATTATATTAAAAGTCTTCAATATACTTGAATGGCAGTTCTAGCCATAGTATTCTGCAATTGTAAAACAAAAGCAAATGTAGAACAATGCAAATAAAATTATAAGGGGAGAACATTAAAAAGTAGTTTCTTTTTTGTTTTGAGACAAGGTCTTGCTTTGTAGTTCAGGCTGGTCTCGAACTCATGATGATTCTCCTGCCTCAGCCTCCTGCATGCTAAGATTACAGGCATGTACCACCATGCCCAGGTAAAAAGTTTTTTCAAAATGCCAAGGCTGAGTGCATATACACAGGAAAAAGTAAATGATACAATATTTCTCACCCTGGTGCCCTCTTGAGCTGGGTCTGTTCTAGGCTAGTATTCACTTCTTGGTTCTTTTTCCTGTTTGATGGGGTGTCTGATATTGTTGATAGACCCAAGAGTCATCTTTTATTGATAGGTGTAGAAAACACTTAGTGTCTGCTAGTAGGTTGGGGTTGCTCATGACAAATACTGAAAGCCCACACCGCCGTCCTCCCTCCTGGCCCAGTTTTGGCTGTGCGGACTCAGGCCGAAGTCCTCCAGAGCATTTACCAGCTTCCTTAACAGGACTTGAGCCACTGGGCCTGGCTTCCTCCTGCCGTTGTAACCAGTAACCCACCTCCTCTGCATCCAATGTCAGCTCGTAACTGTGTGCATCCATCTGCCTGGGCTCCAGGACCTTCTTGGAACAGCCCTTTCCTTGGAGTAACTGTGGGTACAGTTAGCTCTGATGTCTGGCATAGTGTGTCAAAAGCCCTCTGGCTCAGATTTCACTTTTGTCAGGTGGAACATTCCAGAGAGGCAGTAGCCATCAGACCCGAAGACTAGGGAGACCGACTTTCAAGTACAAGCAAAAACTGAGGCTCCTGGAAGGTGGCAGATGTAATTATTGGAACATCTGTGGTGAAGGGAAATATTTATTGTTTGTTTTCTGTTTAGTCTAAGAATTCCCAGTGCTCTTTAAATTCTGGCATAGTTCCCAGGGGCTAAAGCTGGAAGGATTTTTACTTTCTCAGTAAATTCTCTTTGTAAAGATGTTAAGTGGGTAGTTTGGTTCCCCCCAAGACCTGTGCTCTTTCAGGCCCTCTGTCTCCAAGCAAACTCCTGTCTCCGAGAGGCGCTGTTTTCAGCCCCCAGCTGTCAGTGCTAAGTCCCTACCTACACTTTGCCTGCCTTGGCTCTGACTGATGCTTGTGGTCAGCTCTTTATCAGGCTGCTTTTCGAGGCTATGAATGTGGAATCATAGGTGAACAATCAGCAGATACCCTGTCCAATACTGGAGATTGGAGCCAGGGCCTTCACACTGAGCTACGTCCCCAGCCCTTTTTGTGTTTTGAGACAGGGTCTGGCTAAATCACTAAGTTACCCAAACTGTACTCAAACTTGTGGTCTTCCCTCCTTGGCCTCCCAGAGTGCTGGGATTATAGGCATGTGCTGCCATGCCTGGCTAGGAACATAATTTCTTTCACCAAACCGCCAGTGAGCAAAGTTATTATTAACTACATGTACCTGATGGTTACCAGCTTGCTTCATACTGACAAGGCTTCTTTCTTGTCCGAAAGTTCTTTGCACTTGGATTATCCTTTATCTCCCTGCAGCGCCATTTGAACTATGCTTGGTGAAAATAGGAAACTCATCAGTGGATTTTTGTGTTTCCTTATTAACATTTTTTCCATTGTGTAATTTTTAAAGTTGTAGTAACTATTCATAACGTAAAATTCACCATTTTAACCCTGTTAGCATGCACAGTTCAGTGGCATTAGGCACGTTCACAATGAAGTACAAGCATTGCCCTCACCCATCTCTAGGCCTTTTCATCTTCCTGAACTGAAACTCTGCCCTATGAAGCATGAAATGTAGACCCCCATCACTGATAACTGGTGGTGTTCTCCTTTCTGTCTCCGAGTTTGACTGCTGTATGTACTTCATACCACACAGTATCTTTCCCTTTGTGTATTCCTCTCGAGCCCATCAACTGGAGACTGGATAAAGAAGGTTTTTTTTATAAAATGCAGTACTACTCAGCCATAAAGAATGAGAAACTAGAGACATTTATAGCTAAGTGAATGCACATTGAGGCCATACTCTTGAGTAAAATAAATAGAACACGCATGTGTAAATACCGAATAGTTTCTCTGTTGTGAAAAACTAGGGCAAATAAGAACCAAAATGTATAATTAATATTGTGAACTAGAGCTTCTTCTTATGAGCCCTTCTGAGCAAGCTAGCTCAGCTGGGCAGGACTGAGGGGCAGAAGTGGTGGTGCTGGAGGTCTGCAGAATGTCCTGGGGCTGACCCAGCTATGGCTGCCCTGAGGTGATTGGCTTCTACAGCTGTCAGCACCATAGCTGCGGGCAGGTGGTTCCTGTCTAGACACCATGGCCGAATCTGTGTTATTTCATTCAACCTCCTTGGTCCAGGTGTCTGTGTGTCACCAAAATCTGGGGAGGCTTTTGTACCTTTTTGTTGGTACAGCACTAGTGATGGAACCCAGGGCCTCCCGCATGCTAGCCAAGAACTCTACCAACTGGTCTGCACCCCCAGGCACCTTCCATGTTTTAAAGTATCGCATGCACATGGTAAAACACTCCGACTGTTTAAATACTCTCCCCTACTCCAGCCCCAACCTCTCTGGATGGGGAGTGAGGTGACCCATCTCTTCAGTGTCATTCCAGAGATATTCAGCCCAGAGGCAGTCCTGTGGATGTGTCTGTGTGTGCCAGTCCCACTATGTTGTGTTAACCTAATGGAGTGTTACCCATAGCTGTGGTTAAACCAGGGTCCACTCTTTTTTGTGTGTGTGTGGCTATGGAAATTCTGTTTTCAGCTGAATCATGCATTTTACGAAATTTTATTACTTCTTGAGTAGCTTTTTGATTTCCCAAAGAGTTTCCTTGCCAATTTGCTTGGTTTTCTAAGAATCAATCACTCATTCTTCCCTAAATTCTGAAAGGAAACACTGTATGCACCTCCAACTTCCACGATGACCTTTTTTTTTTCTGGGAAATGCCTGTCCTGGCTCCCTCACTCCTCCTGCCTGTCTGAACATGTTGCCCTCTAGATCCGGGTCCACCTGTGTCACCTTTGCAGTTGTTTTGGGGACCTCTGCCCCTCCTGTGTTCTGGCTCCTATTTCTTAGAGCCCAGTTTCCCCTCTCTCAGAACCCAGGCCTTCCCTTTCTTGGGTCTTCCTCCCTTACTCTGGCACAGATCCCTTCCCTTACTAACTTTCTGGGACATTCATGTCTGAAAAGTTTCTTTCCCCAATCCTGACCGTAAGATGGTTTGGCTGGGGACAGATTCAAAAAGGAACATAATTTCCTGTTGTAATTGTGAAGTAGTTGATGTATTCCCTCTGAGTTCCCAGAGTCACTCGTAGAAGTATGCTATGGGTCCCACTCATCATCAGTGATCTGCTTTTCCCTCCAGAAGTGTCTGTGTGATGTTTGCTACATTTTAGAGCTGTGACTTCCTCGATAAAGCTCCATTGTGGATCTTTTCCCCCCACTCTTCAGTCCACCCAGGGCCTATTAGAGAAAGACGCCCTTCTGTGACTCTGGGGTATTTTCTTCAGTTATCCCTTCTTCTCCTTTCTGTGAATTCTCTGGAACTTCTTAGTTGCCTGAGTTTGCTATTTTGAGCTCTGGGCCTTTCCGGTTGACCCTCCTTGGAGACTGAGCCTCCTGACTCAGTGAGGCAGGATATGAGGGGGACAGCCACTCCTCTCTCCAGTCCCCCACATCCAGCCTCTGCAGCGACTGGAGACTTGACATGAAGGTCTAGGAAGCAAAGGCAGAATTATTTAGGGAAAGTCTTCATAGTAACATGGGAGAAATAGATCTGGGCCTGCTAATTAACACTGGCACCCAGCCTCACAAATTGCTGACCTCTTCTTGACGTGTGTGATGAATGGCAATGTTTGCATCATGTTCTTGTCGTGTATATTGTATTTCTTAACAGACAGTGTTCCCAAGGTAAGATAAAGAAGACAAAGGGAGTCCATAATGAGAGTTCAGCATGCGAATGCTGGGCCATGGGTGTCACAGGACAGATAAAGAAGCACCATGCATTTGAACTTGGCATACCCCCCAGCATGTGACATGTGACAGGAGCAAATGCAGGGGTGCTGTCAGTGGCTGACTTTATAGGATAGTGGCTGAGGCACCAGAAACCTCCATACAGGACAAGGGAATAGCAGCCCTCCAGTTTCATGGCAGTTGCAGTCCTGGGAAATTAGATGAATATTAAAACATGCAAAATATTTTGTGTATATGCAAAATGGAATTAGGTTCTAGTCTCAGGAGGTTACTTAGGATATGGAACAGTTGCTCCTGGACTCTGAGACCTTAGTCATTGTGACTAACACCAACAGATCTACAAATTTCCAAAGTGCCTTGAAAGACTGGTAGCAAATCCCTCGTGTAGAGTCTACCCTAGAAATCAAGACAGGTGATGGACAGCACATGTGTTAGTCAGGGTTCATCAGATAAAGGGAACCAACAGAGCGTGTGTGTGTATGAGAGAGAAAGAGGTGTGTTTGGCACCCCTTTATTTTAAGGAATTTGCTCATGCTATCACAGTGAATGGCAAATCTGAAATCAGCAGGGTGTGAGAGCTGATGTTGTATCTAGTTCTGAGGCTGTTCAGATGTAGAATTTCCACTTCTTCAGAAGATGTCGATCTTTTTTTGTGAGGCCTTCCACTGAGTAGATAAGGCCCACATTCATATTGTGAACGATAATCTTCTTTACTCAAAGGCTGCTGGTGTAAATCTCAGTGACATCTGAAAAATACCTTCGCAGCAATATCGGGACTGGTGTTTGACCAAACAACTATCTACCATGGCTTATTCTGGTTGACACGTAATATTAATTATATAGCACATGACAACGAAGTTGGAAGAATTTTCTGTTCCTATATTAGGTACTCAAAGAATAGTCACTATAAATATCTTTCTGTGTTTTTCTTTGAAGCATCACCAGTGTGCAGCGCTCAGACAATGGATCGTATATTTGTAAGATGAAAGTAAACAATATTGAGATCGTGTCTGATCCCATCGACATCGAGGTACAAGGTAAGTCAGAGGCCAGAGTGTCCTGTTGCCTGAGAGCTGTTTTAGAGCCTGTATTCAATGTTTTGTGCATAATACTCTAGAATTCATCCTATTTATAGCTCTGCATGCAAATCTTGCAAATCCATCAGCGTTGAAATTTTACAAGACAATCCTCTTTTTAAACTTTAGATAATAACAAAATTAATTTACTTCCTAAAGTTCAAGCTCTATATAGCATGAGAGGTAAGATTAAAAGGGATCTTGTACTTCCTTGAGTTTTTTATTCTCTTTTAACAAATAAACTAAAGATTTCTTTTTAGGGAGCATAATGCATTGTATTGCCCAGTTTTTAATAGTGGCACCACTCCACTCACCTGGTCCAGTGGCATTTGGTATTATTCAGCATCGTTTCCCATCATGCGTATGTGATGGTAGAGCACAAGAGGGTGAGTGCTTTTTCTGGTCCAGGTCCACAGCTCAGCCTGGGACTATGCTTGGCTTAGGTTCCCCACTAGTTACTCTAAGGCCCACAGTTCAGAGCAACTCCATGACATATTTTCTGACATCATATGGGGGCCGCTGGGGCTGAGAAGGGAGATGTCAGACAAGGAACAGTCACTCTTTGCCCTTGAGGAACCTGACTGCTAGTGGGAAATGTGAGTGGGTGCATAGGTGAGCCAGGCCAGATGATGTTGTTGGTACCCTGGGCCTGGGTTTGCATGCCTGGTCTACAGGGTCAGGGCCTGTCAGAGGAGGCTACAGGGAGGAAGCACCTTTGGTGCTACCCAAGTGGTTGCTCCCCTGCCTTAGGGCTGTTCTGCATCCCTGCCCTGTTGGCCGCCCTAGCAGCAAGGCCATCACATCCCCTGTCTTCTACTTTCTCAGAACCTCCAAATGGCAGGCTTTAGAACAGGTGAGTAATTTTCAGGCAGAAGCATCTCCAACTAAAAGGCCTCTCTGCTACATTCTTTGTGACCCTGAACTTGATACCTATTAATGGCCAAGGCCAGAGAGAAGGAGGATGAGGGGAAGGAGGGAGGGAGTAGGAGAGGTAGAAAGAGGAAGACAAAGAGGCCCCTCAGAAGGTTCCTCCTGGGTCTTTCTCTGGGCCCATCCCAGGTTGGACAGAGAGAAGGGGTCCCCTCCATTTGCTGCTTATCTGGGGAAAATGCTGAGGGCATTTTACTTGTTCATATCCCAGAATAATGCCAGTGCAGGAACATGTTAAATCCAAATAGAAAAACCTTGAAACTGGAAAAAAAGAATCCTATTTCATATATTTCCTACATCATTACTGCTGGAACCAGATCTTAGAGTTCCCAGTCCCAAAAGAACATAATTTGAATGCCTGGTGATAGTCATCTCTACCTGTTAAAATTTTGGATAAACGTCCCACATAAGTACTCACTGGCTTTCTCTGAGATTTTCCCAAGCTTCCTTATAGTCCTGATTTTGAAATTACAGTAGATTTTAGGATTGTACTGTGGAACTGTGTCTATTCTGTTTTCAAGAGAATGTGCTTTAAAAAATGTTCAACCCCATGTTCACTTATGGATTTTGCATGTGCATGCTGGGGATTGAACCCCAGGCCTCACACATGCAAAGCACATGCTCTGCCACACTGAGGTACATCCCCAGCCCCAAGTGCACAGATTTTAAAATCCATATTCACTCATCTGAAAGCCACACACACACGCACACACACTAGATTTTCTGCAAAACTCAGGCAGATTAAATATGTAGCTTTATTTTTAGTCTGTATTTATTTTGGTGAGCAATACTGGAAACCTGCCAGCCAGTCTCATGTGTTTGAGCAACATCTGAATTAAGAACTGTGTGTGTGGTCTGGGGATTGTAGTTCAGTAGTAGAGCCCTGGCCTAGCATGGGTAAGGCCCTGGGTTGGATCCCCAGCACTGGAAGGGGAGGGGGAGGACGGGAAGGGAGAGGGGGAGAGAAAAAGAAGAGAGAGAGAGAATATGAGAGAATGAATATCTGTAGGTCTTTAGACTCCTGGAAAAACCAGTTCTGAATTTGCATTTACAGCCTCCAGGAAAGGTGTCCTAGAAAGTCAACCAAAGGTGACAGGTAGGAATAAGCCTCTGGATGGTCAAAGGGTGGAACTGGCTGTTTCAGACTGGAATTGGTGTGTAAAGAATTCTGTCAGCCACTTGCTAGTCCACTTGCTTTCCACTCCCCCAGGGCTCTGCCTCTGGGTTAGGGTCTGACCCACCTTCCTCTGACTCTCTCCCTGCAGGACTTCCCTACTTCACCAAGCAGCCCGAGAGCCTCAATGTCACAAGAAACACAGCCTTCAACCTCACCTGCCAGGCTGTGGGCCCCCCTGAGCCTGTCAACATTTTCTGGGTTCGAAACAGCAGTCGTATTAACGAACAGCCTGAAAAATCTCCCTCTGTTCTAACTGTTCCTGGTAAGTCCAGGCAATGGGCTTGTTTATTCACTGATTTCTTTTTCTCTGGCAGTAGAAGGGATGAGAAGTTTGGTGAGCACTGCACCTATCACCAGCATGCAGGTGAAGATGCAGCTGGGCAGCTGGGGTTAGGGGGCAGGTAGATGGGCAGCAGGTAGGAGTCAGCAGCAGGTGTGAGAATTCCTAGGCCAAGGTGTAGGGGTAAGTTGGCCATATGGCCAAATCCCAAGCCCAGGAAGCCCTGCTCTGTCCCATGGCAGTGCCCGTCCTCTTCCACCCTGGTGGGCCTCACATTTAGCGAGACACAGAGGTGAGGGTCTCCCTTGGGTGTGACAGTAAGAAAGTGTCTTAAAAAAGAGGGCCGGGGATTTAGCTCAGTGGTTCCAGTGCCTGCCTCGCAAGTACAAGGTCCTCAGTTCAATCCCCAGTACCAAAAAAAAAAAGTGTCCTTGTCACTGGTGCTGTGGCAGGAAGTTTGTGAGTCATTGTGGATTGGGCCAAGCTGACATTCCATGGTCATCTTGATTTCTATACCAGTGCCAGTGCCCTGGCTCTGTTCCCACAATCATGACAAAGCTCTTGTCAACAATGCTGCAGATCAATTTCTGATATCACCAAAGCTGGTGGACTTCTTGGTGCTCTTCCATTGCCTCTTCCAGCAACATCTGGTTGGCAGAGTGGCCAGGCTCCCTCCCTCCCTCCTTCCTTCCTGTGCTCACAAGAGGAGGGTCTGCCATGTGCCCGAGGCTGGCCTGGGCCCGGGAACACAGTGGTGGACCTCCAGGAAGACTTGGTTTTCTTCCCTCCGCACTGTGCTTCCCTGACCAGTGGGGGTGACCAGTAGCAGGTTCTGATGTCAGGTGCCTCACACTTCTGTTTGCCTGGCCCTGGATCCAGTACCATCTATGTGACGATGACCTTGAACTTTGCATCGCCAGTCCCGCTGTCCCTCCTGAGCCTCAAGCTCTGTCTCACACCTCCTTGGCGTTTCCACTTGCAGAATGCACAGGCATCTTTTTTTTATTTAATAAAGTTTATTTTAATTTTATCCCCCCCCCCCCCCAAGCTCCCTCTCCTTTGTACAAAAGCTTTGTTTCCATTTTTTCTTCTGTTTTCACTTTTTTTTCTTCTTCCTTCCTGGCTCCCTCCTTCCTCCCTTGTTCCCCTTCCTATTTGAACATTTTCTTTCCATTTCCCAATATCTATTGTACATTTTCAGTCCTTATTTCCACTTCTAGTTTCTCACACCAGAGAAACTGTGGCATTTAAGCATGTGTGTCTGATTTATTTTATTTAAGAGTATGGTCTCAAGGTGAATTCATTTAGCTATAAATGCCTGAAGCTCATGCTTCTTTATGGCAGAGTAGTATTCTATTGTAAAAAAAAAACCCATATCTTCTTTATCCACTTGTCAGTTGATGGGCATTTGGGCTGATTCCAAGATTTAACTAATACACACTGTGCTGCTATCAACATGGGTGTGCCTATATTGCTGTGGTATGATGCTTTTAATTCTTTTGGGAAGATACCAAGAAGGAGAATAGCTGGGTTGAGTGGAACCTCTAGTTTTAGTTTTTTGAGAAATCTCCACCCTGATTTCCACAGTGGTTGCACCAGTCTATACTCCCACCAACAGTGGAGAAGGGTTCCTTTTTCCCCACAGCCCCGCCAGCATTTGTTATTGGTTGATTTCTTTTTTTTTTCTTTTAAATTCTTTTATTGGTACATTTTAGGTATACAATACATTTACATTTATCATTGGGTGTTTGTACCTGTACATGATGAATCTTGGTTCTTATTTTTTTTCCCATTACCTGTGCACCCTTCACCCCCTCCACCCTTCCCTATTTACATAGATTTCATTTCCATTTTTTTTCTTTTCTCATAATTTTTCCTTTCCCTTCTTTCCTTTCCCCTTCCCCTCCCACCACCCCTACACCTTTGGACCTTTTAATATTTCTAATTATCAGTTACTCATTTTAACCCTTATTTACACTTTCAGTTCCTCACACTAGAGAAACTATTCAGTATTTACACATGTGTTGGTTGATTTCTAGATAGCAGCCATTCTTTCTGGAGTGAGATGGAATCTCAGTGTTGTTTTAATTTGCATTTCATGAATGACCAGTGATATTGAACATTTTTTCCATATGTTTATTTGCTGTTTCTAATTCTTTTTTTTTTTTTTTTGATGTGGGAGATCGAACTCAGGACCTTGCACTTTCAAGGCAGGCACAAGTGCCACTGAGCTAAATCACCAGCCTCTGCTGTTTCTATTTCTTCATCTGAGAAGTGTCTTTTCATTTTAGATGCCCATTTTTGGATTGGGTCTTTAAATTTTGGGGGTCTGATTATTTTGAGTTCTTTATATATTCTACATAATAGTCCTTTGTCTGATGAATAGCTGGTAAAAGAATTTTTCCCACTCTGTGAGTTGTCTCTTTGAGCTGTTGGTGGCTTCTCTTACTTGTACAGGCATCTTAAAATGCAACCCTTGATTCCCCCTGCCTTGTTCCACCCCAGAATTCCCCCTCTTAGTAAGTAACATCACCATTTGCCCAACCTTCCCTTTCTTCATTTTTCCATCTCAACAGCATCAGCAGTTCTGTGAGTTCTGCTTCTAAAATCTGGCTAAACTCCTCCTTTCTCCATCTCTGCTGGGGACACTGTGGTTCATGTCACCACCGGCTCTTGTCAACACCAACTCAGTAGTAACTTCTCAAATGGCCTTTGCTCCAATCCGTGTTCCCACTCCCATCTGCCCTGCTCAGCACAGATCGCCTCACCCATTCTCTTAGCCTGTCACCCTGAATCCTCCCTACCCTGGCCATGGAACCTCCATGCTCTGGTCCCTGTCCAGCTCCCCAGCCCAACCCCAGCCCACTCTTTCCTTCATGTTCAGTGAGAACCAGCCATGCTAATTCACTCTGATTTCTTCAGTCATGTCATATTCCTGCCTCAGGACCTCTGCACTGTCTCTTCTGTCTGTCCCTCACATTCTGTCCTTCATCACATGACACAACTCACGCACCACTTCTCGAGAGATGCTCTCTGCCTACTCCTGACATTTCAGGTTCTTACCACTCCTTTGTCTTCATTGCACCTGTCATCCTGTCTGGTCACCCTGCTATCTCCTCAGCTGTCTTCTTAGAAAGTGTTCGCTCAAGGAGGACAAGGACTTTGTCTTACCCATTCCTCTCTGTGCTCCAGGGCCTGGCTCAAGGAAGTGTTTAGTGGACACTTGTGGATGCATCAGCAGGTGTATGCCAGCCTCTAGGGGCCGTCTCTGAGTCACACATCTAACCTGGCCGCAGGAGGAATGCCATGAGTTTCTCTATTTTAACTTGGGGTTTCTTTGAATTTCTCCAAGGAGTTGAACTTCTGTGTTCAACATGAATTTAAAATAACACTCTCCACCCTCCGTATAAGATGATTGCTCTGAAGTCCCCTCAAGATGTTTGTCATCAAGGTAAAACTGATGTACCATTAAATGTGTAGGACATCAGTATACAGCTTAGTGAGTGTAGATGACTGCAGATACCCACATACCCACCATGCCCATCAAGATACAGAGCATGGGGGCACATGCCTGTGATCCCAGTCACCTGGTCCACATGGCAAGACTGGTCTCAAAAATTTAAAAAGGCGGGATGTAGCTTAGCACCAGAATGCTTGCCTAGCGTATGTGAGTCCCTGGATTCCATCCACAGCACTGAGGGAAAAAAAAAGACAAAATCCATCCTATTTTGTTCCTCTAGAACTTTTCCTCTTGTGCACATTTACTCAGAATTAGGAATATGTTTTTGCAATGAAATCTGCAAATTCTTTTAATGCCCAAGGCTATAATTTGTCCCAGCTTAGAGTCCTGATTTATTTCTAAATGGCCAGTTGTGGCCTTACAACTGCCAGCTGTTTTGAATTTCAAGTTCTTCACAATTTTTTTTCTATTTAGACAAGAAAGACATGAAATAGGAATTAGAGCAGTTTTACAACCTAAGAGGATGCCTTAAAAAATAACCTTTTTGTAGCGGTGGTTGCACAAAGCTACACGTGATAAGCTCATACACAGCTACACAAACACATAAGCGAGAGCACCTGTAACTGAAATCCAAGCAAGCCCAGCCAATGATACCACTTTCAACTTCCTGGTTTTGATGGTGTGCTGGGGGTGTCCAAGATGTTAACACTGGGAGCATAGTGGTAGATGAACAGATGCTTGCACATATTTGTGATTTTCTCTCCAGTTAGAATAGTGCACATGCGGTAAATGTCAGCCTTTGAACACTATGTGAACATGTCTGCTGTAAAAAATTCAAACCGCAGTGATGTGGCACGCAAATGTAACTGTCACTCCCTGAACAGAGGGAACACACACCAACCTTTCTTTACTCCCGACCAGGCCCTGTGTGGTCCGAAACGGGCTTCCACACACAGGTGGCCATGACATGTAGGTCTGTCCATGTGGGTGCCTTTGGGAACTTGCCTCTATTTATTTATCTATCTGTCTATCTACCTATCTACCTACTTGTTGGTACTGGGGATTGAACCCAGGGTCTTCACACTGAGCTACATCCTGAGCTCTTTTTTATTTATTTTTTATTTTGAGACAGGGCCTTTTTAAATCACTAAAGTTGCCCATGCTGGACTTGAATTTTCGATTCTCCTGCCTCAGTCTCCCAGAATGCTGGGATTACTGGCATGTGCCACCACACCTAGCTAACCATTCCCATGTTGATGAACATTTAGGTTGTTTCCACTTATTTTCTGTTATAAATAATGCTTGTACACACATTTTTTTTACTCATCTGGTTTATTTTCCATGTTCAAAACAGTTTTTATTTGACAAATAAGAATTGTATATACTTATTCTGTACAACATGGTGTTTTGAAATATGTATGCTTTGTGGAATGGCTAAATAGAGCTAATTAACATACCTTACATACTTACCATTTTCTTGTGGTAAGCCATCAGTATTTACAGTGGTACCTTGGTGGCAACC